CCCCCCCCCCCCACCCCCGCCCCTCTCGCAGTCGCTCCCACTTCGAGCCGCTCCTCTCCTCCGCCCTCGAGTCGTACGACGCGCTGCAGCGGCAGCTGCTCGGCCAGAGCCAGCCGCTGCTCCGCATACAGCTGCACGGCCTCGCGCTCGGCGCGCGCCTAGTCGGACTCGCCTCCGGGAGACGCGCCGCACACGCTGCCGAGACGCACCCGAGCCTCCGCATGTCGCCACCCCGCTGCCTCGCCACCCCGCCGCCTCGCCACACCCCGCTGCAGGCGCCTTCGCCTCGCTCGTCGCCCCGTTTGGCGGTTTCTTCGCCTCGGGCATCAAGCGCGCCTACAAGATCAAGGACTTCTCGGCGATCATCCCCGGCCACGGCGGCGTCTTCGACAGGCGCCGCCGCCCCAGCCGCCGCAGCTTGTCGGTCGCGGTTGGATGAGGGGCAGGGTCGAGCCGTCCTGTAGGATCGACTGCCAGCTCATCATGGGCCTCTTCACCTACATCTACACCTCGACGATCGTCGACGGCGGAGGGCTCATCGCGAGGGAGCGCGTGCTCGCGCTCGCGACGGCACCCGCCGCCGTCGGAGGAAGAGGTCCGCCCGCCCCCAGTGAAGATGAGCGGGCTGGCTTGTGGTATAGGCGCTGCCAGCGGAGGAGCGGCTGCTGCTGTACCGAGAGCTGACGGCGTCGCTGCGGGACGCAAAGCTGCTGTAGCAGCTTGCGTGGGGGAGGGGAGGAGTAGGGGACGCCTCGCTTAGGGGGCGGCCCGGGGGTGGGGTGGGTGGGGTGGTGGGTGGGCAGCCTTCGATCGTACAAAGCGGGACCGGTCCAGGCGGTGGCTCAGCAATCGGCAGTCGCTGCGGGCTGCGGTTCTGGGTGTGCTGAGCACGCTCTCCGTCTGGGCCGGGGGCGGGCATGCAGGGGCGGGGAGGGCGAGGCACGCGGGGTGTACACTGCTTGGTGGCGAATCGGCTTTGGGTCGCGATCTGCCGCGGGCCTCTGGCGGCGTGTGCACTTGTGCTGAGCCTTGCACAGGGGGCGGGAAGGGGGAGGGGGGGGGGGGGGGGTTGATGGGCGGGATGCGCGGCGCGGCTGAGGTATTGGGGCGGCAGGGATCGCATCAGAGACGGCTGGCGACGGAGGCGCGGGCAAGAGCAGTGCAGTGCACCCGAGAACGCACACAGCTCGTTGGCCGTGTTGATAAATGGCTGTACGTGTGTGTGATGAGCTGATGACTCTTTCTCTCCACTGACTCCACTCTCCGTATATAGTCTATCTTGATCTCGCTGTCGATTATGCTCCGAAATCATAAAAAGATATCTTTCGTTTTTTTCAGCTCTCAGGAGAGGTGTACACGCGCGTTCGCCCGGCTCTTGGAGCACTTGGAGTGCGGAGCTGCCCGCAACAGGCAAGTTTTGGGTCGTCGCGAAGAGAGCAGGTAGAGGGCTCTGCAGAGCTGCCAGAGCTCATAGCTCAAGCGCGGGGCCGGCGCGGCTCTCGTCTTACTTACACGCCTTGGTGAGCGACGCCTTGGTGAGCACACAACTGTGTGTAGACTGTGTATAATAACGTACAGACCGGAGAGAGAGATCAAGGCTTGAAGTAAATGATAAACTCGGGGTACGTCTGGGCGCGATCGTAGACGATGAACTCGCGGTGGACCTGGCTCCCGCCCGACGCTACGACCGAGTCGTGGGGCAGACCTACGGCAATCCGCCAGCGCATCTCTTTGGCGGAGCTCAAGGCTGGCGGGCTGGTGCAGGGGACGAGTACCACGGGCTACTCGTGCAGCGAGGCGAAGGCGGCGGGCTACTCGCTCAAGGAGATGAAGGCGGCGGGCTACTCGTGCAGCGACGCAAAGGCGGCGGGCTACACGTGCAGCGAGGCAAAGGCGGCGGGCTACACGCCCTTTGAGTGCCGCGCGGCTGGCTACTCTTACGAGGAAGGTCGCGTGGCCGGCTATCGTTGGGACAAGGACTATTGGAATGGAGGTTTTTGCGACCGGTGGGTCTGATGACTGATTATTTCTTTTTCCCCAAACGTAGCCCCATCATCGCAAGCACTCAGCCCATCAGCGCCTTTCGCGCCGCCGCCGCCGCTGCCCTGCCTCCGCGCTCGATGGTGCTCGGCCCGCTCGTGAGCGCCTATTCGCGGAGCCTCGCGGTGGCGCCGCTCCCCACCAAGAGCCTGCTCGCCGCGGTCATCGCGATTGGCGGCGACGCAGTGGCGCAGCTTTCCGATGGCGGAGGCGCGGGCGAGGCCAAGGGCCTCGACGTGGAGCGAGCGGTCGCCTTTGGCATCTTTGGCGCGAGCTACACGGGCGCGTTCCAGCACCACCTCTTCGACTGGCTCTCCTCCAACTGCCACGGCCACACCCTCGCGCGCCTCTGCTCCGCCTCTCCCGCCGCAGAGTGGGTCGGATGGCTCGGGGCGGCGATGGAGCGCACGCTGCTGAACCAGTGAGCGCCGCGCGCCAGCCCCGCCGCGCCCCCCGCCGCGCCCCCTTGACACGCCGGCCAGCGCACGCGCCGCCCCGACCCCTCTGCCGCCGCCCCGCCCCCCGCTGCCGCGAAGATCTACGCCCTTAGCTAGCATCCCTGTCTACGCCCTTACCGCCGCCCCTCCCCGCCCCGCAGGCTGATCATCATCCCGCTGCTCTACCTGCCCTACTACTTTCTGGTCTCTGGCATGGTCAAGGGCCACTCCCCGCGCGCGATCGTCGCCTCTGCACGCCGCCGCTACCTGCCCCTCCTGCGCCGCAACTGGGCCTTCTGGGTGCCGGTCCAGTTCTCCTTCTTCACGCTGGTGCGCAGCTCATCGCCCGCGGCCGACCCCTCCCCCCCCCTCCTAAAGAAAAATAACTTGGTAATCAACTATAGCTTAACGGGTCCACAACTGTTCTTCTTGAGTGAGCGGCAGTTCTCCTCCAATTCCCCTTTCTGGTTTACGAACTCTGGGTGCGATGGTCATCCAATCTCCCCAGTATGGCTCCCTCTCCTCT